CTACCTCTTCTTACTGAGGGCTATTGGTGAGAATTCAAAATCAACAGGAAAACCAATTAACTGATTCTCCTCCATCATTCAGACCCATGAGGCTAGAAGAAAAATGTGTGGTTGTGGCAGTCTCTGAACCTCTCTTTTTCCATCCTTAAAATAAAAATATTGTTAAAACTTGTCTACAGATAGCATGGAATCCAGTGGATTCTTGTTTGGTCTCTATGCCTCTGGTCACTTTTATTCAGTCTAGAATAAGATGGTTACTTATGACTAAAACAATATCTTCAAGTAAATATATATTTCAAATCAAACATTTTCCCATGACCTCTTATAGTGAAGTGAAAATAGTAACCATAGTCTGAGATTAATAGCTAGTGTACTAACAGTGTCATAAACTGACTCAGGAAGTGTCATCAGTTTATATGATAGATTGATTAAGCTTTTGGCATAAGTCTAGTTATGTTATAGGTTATTTTCCTTTAATGGTATCTCATGAAAATTGTTAATACGTTAGTAAGTTTTTGGTTCTACAAATAATAAAATATTTTATATCTCTATACTGAAAATTTTTCAGTATATATACATATATATATATGAATGGCTTAAACAATTATAATTGACATTATTTTAAGAGCAAGCATTCTGTTCTTATTTGCATTTTATTGTGGGTACATTTTATAGTTGTAGCTTGATGTAGCAGTTACTCTCAGATGTTTCCAATTTTAATGTTTGTTAAACTGTTATAATCTGAAGTAAGATAGATGTGGCACCACTCTGTCAACCTTCCTTTGATTTTTTATGAAATATTATTGTGTGTACTTGTTTTGTGCTTTAATAAAGGATCTAGTTGTTTGGAATTATGTCAGACAGTGTCCTATGGGGAATTTCAGTGTTTGTTCATAAGAAAAGAAAATGTCTTTTGTTTTGAGTATGATTTAAGAAATTTGGCCTTGGAGTTTTCCTGTAGAACTCTACTTGAGCTTTTTAAACAATTTGGCCAACATTTATAATACTTTCCAAAGTGGTCATTAAACACTATATGGACTGAGCAGGTTAATTTGAAAGACAGCAAGGAAGGTGGCTCTGTGGTGAGGTTTGAAGGGAGAAAAGGGACGGGGAAAATAATGTAACTGCATTATAATCTCAAAAACTAAAAAGATTACTTTAAAAAATTCATCTGGGAGGAAAAAGGCTTTTTAAAAAAATTGGAAGTTACAACAAATAAAATCTGTTCCATGGAGTAGGAGTTTAGCCAGTGTTGTTAAACTGATGAATGTGTTGATAATGGAATGCTATTTCCAACGTTCGGGAAAAACTGTGTAAACTATAACATGTTGAGGCAGAAATAGAACACTGCTCTTTCAAAACATATTTGTTTATAACTTGAAGAAATGTTAAACTTAAAAGTGTATATTTATTTTAAGGTTAAAAGGTTTTGAGCCAGATTGTTCAAACATAAGTTTTCTTAATCAGTTCTACAGATCTCAAGATGAAAAGTGAGAAACTCATTTAGGCTCTTGCTCAAGTTAGAGACTGTAAGTTGCTTGAGTTTGGAAAGAATGAAGGTAAAAATAAAAGGGAACACTTGCCCCAGCCTCCACAGTAGACAGACCACACTCAACCAGTTTAGTTTTCTTGCTAGAGGAGGGCTTATATTCATCTTAATTGGGTTAGTTTTATTTACCAGATAAAAGTAGTGTTTGTTTTCTCAAGATTATATGCACTTTCATATTTGGACTATTCAGTATAGAATTATAAACTTAATAGTATGTTTTTTAAGTACCTATGTGCTGTTGTTTTAATAAAGTTTTTTGCTAAGGTCTCAAGTGACTGGCTTATCTCCATTATGCTTGTGATGTCTTCTATCACTGAGCTGCATGGGAATATGGAACTGACTTACTGGGAGGGCTATATCAGCTCATAATCTTTCCTGATACATTGCATGAGTTGTCCAAAACTTTCAGTTAATGTTTTTTTTTTTTTTAAATAAAGAGGTCTTACACTAAGTTTTAAAATCAAGATGTTGTGAGTTCCAGACCACCCTGGTCTACAGAGCAAGTCGAGGATAGACAGAGCTATTGTACAGAGAAACTCGGTGTTAAAATGTAGGAGGAGCTAAAGTGGGAGGAGTAAGGAGAGGAAGAGGAGGAGTTGGGAGAGGAAGAGAAAAAAGGAAGAGGAGGAGCTAGAGAGGGCAGAGATGTAGGAGAATGGAGAACCACACAGGTGTGGAGAGCACTTGTGGGGAATAACTTATAGACTTATAATTAGGTTAGCTAATTGGGATACAACTCTCTTTGTATGGGCATCTTGTTATTAACCATTATCAAACATATAAAGCCTTTGATTAATCTATAAGAATTAGAGTCTCATTCTCTTACTGGGCCCGCATGGATGGCAGAATGGTCTGGGCAATGCCCTGCCTTGCGGAGACAGTGTGGAAGATTGGCAGAGCCATCTCTCACGTTGGCATCTAGTGGGTGGCAGGGCTGGTATTTCTGGCGGGCTGGTTCTAGCTGCAGCACACACGTGGCCTCAGGCCGAGAAACGTGGCGGCTAGGCAGGGCCACCACAGCTTAGATAGTCGGCTTGGCCAGTGGCCAAGTTTAAATAATTACTACAACATTAAAACACCACCACCACCAACAACAACAACAGAAAGTTTGATTTCTTTAATCTTGATTTTATTAGTTGTACATACTATGCTGTTATATTTATCAGAACTACAGTGGTAACAGTTGAATTATTATTTCTAACATCGTAAGTGCTATATAATAATATTTGAGGATATGCAAACTGAAGAATCCAAGAAACTGTATGAATTTTCTAGTCAGAAATGAGTTTACTTTTTAAACTGTCCGTTTGGTAGCCATGGTTGAGAGTTACTCAAATATCTTAGACATTGAACTTCAAATAGCAATTCATAAGAAAACACCTGGAGAGAATCATCACTGTGGAAGGGAAGAGCTCAGGCAAATACCTAGATCCAAATAAAGAAGCATGTATTTAAAAAGTAAAAGCCAATGTTTCGATAGTAAGATTAAAGAACTTCTCTGGGTAAGATAAATCTTTCCAGACAACCAAAATGTAAAGATGTTTCTCATATTCCACTTAAAAATACTAAGTATATATATTCATAAGCATGCAAACAGCACTAAACAGACTCAGTGAGTTGTATTTATATTATGCATTTATAAATATATTTGTGTGTGTGTAACTAATAAAAGAAAAGGAAGCTCTCAATTTGAGGAATGGGGGCATAGAAGGAGTTGGAGGGAGAAAGTAAAGTGGAGAAGTAATGCAATTATATTTCAATTAAGTTTTTAAAACGAACATACATTTAAAAATATTAAGCACACGAGGCTCATATGTACCTGCTACTCCGAGTGCTACTTAGAATTATTAATAGTGACATAAGACACACCAAGTGACATGTCTTTTCATGCACAGACATGTAATTATCCAAATATACAGGATGAGGCTAAATAGACCTTTACCTTACTCAGCCAGCACTGGAGAAGCTTCCTCCCGCAGATGATAGGGACAGATACAGAGGCCCACAGCCAGCCATTATGCAGAGAGTCAGAGAAATCTGGAGTACTCAGACCTAAGTGGGATATATAATCAATTTCTCCACTCAAGGCTCAGGAAACCTTGTACGAAAAAAGGTAGAAAGAGTGTAAGAGCCAAAGGGGATGGAGGACACTAAGAAAATATCCCATTAAGACAGCATGATCAAAGCACACATGAGCTCACAGAGTCTGAGGTGGCATGCACAGGGCCTGCATGGGTCTGTACCAGGTCCTTTACGTCTATTTTACAGCTTCCAGTTTAGTGTTTTTATGGAGTCCCTGAGTATATGAATGAGTGGTCTCTGGTTCTTGGCCCTTCTGTTGAGCTCTTTTCCTTCCGTTTGTCTGTTTAGTCCAATTCCAGTGTGTTAGTTTTTGTTTTATCTTATTATATTTTATTTTACTATTATCCCTTAGAAACCTGTTTGTTTTCTAATGAGAGACAGAAAGGGGGTGGATCTCAATGGGAGTAAAGCTGGAGAGGATCTAAGCGGAGACGGAGGGAAAACCCTAATCAGGATATATTATATGAGAAAAAATCATTTTCAATAAAAGAGAAAATATAAGGGGACATGGTTAAATGAAAAAAATAAAGAAATAAAGAAAATAAAACCACCATAGAAAAGGAGGATGGTATATGCCTGAGTTTTCACAGGTTAGTGACTAAATGACAGCAGATAAATGACAGAGGTGAGTTCTATAGGTAGAGATTGGGTGGGAAATCTGCAGTGAATGTGGAATGTTAATTGATTTTTATTTTCTTATAGGGTCAATTACCAACTGTCTCAAGATTTGAAATATAATCTTATAGAGAGGAATAAAAGATTTGTTTTGATGTATTTTCTATTCAAAGTAGAAAAAGCCTTTAGAATCCAACTGTACACACATAATGTCTAGCTTGAACAGGGTGCTTCTTAAAAGGAAGATTGTAGTGAGTAGCTTCTTATTTTCCTAGTGTTCAAGATGCAACAGTGATGATTCAACAAACAGTATTAGAAAATAAGTATACACAATGAAATAAATATTATTAAAACCTCTAAGAGATGTCAACTTTGTAAGGTTAATGTGTAAATTTCAACAACAACAATGCTACCCTGTGTCCAGGAAGTGCAGGGAAAGCTTCCTGTGCTCTAGTGAAAAACATTAGACAATAGATATTTTTAGTGTCCACTTCCTTTTCATTTCATGTGAATACTACAATTTAGAATGACTGTATTGTCATTGCAGAATGACTGTATGACAACATTGTCAATGTTGGTATTCAAAAGTAACACTAGTGAATTTAGAATGGGATGAAGTTTAGCATTTTTCAATACTTTGATAAGTCCTTTCCTTACTAGTACACTGTATTTTTTGTTCAGAATTTACTGTTCTTGTGTTTTGAATTTTCTAGACTAGTTTTATTAATCCTGTGTTACAATTTATCTCCTGAAGGTCAAGTAACCTGGTTTGGCTATGAAAGCCCTCGTAGCTTCTGGGATTACATCAGAGTGGCTTGCCGGAAAGTTTCACAAAACTGTATCTGTAGTATTGAAAATATGGAAAATGTCAGTTCCTCCAGAGCTAAGGTAAGACTTGATAATATGAAATATGTCTAATCTAATTAGAAGGTATTTTATCTGAACTGAAAATATTTGAACTCTGTATTGAAAAAAAGTTTTGTTGAGGTGTTGTTGTTGTTGTTGTTGTTGTTGGAATTTGCACATTACCCAAGTTGTTGACATCCTTTAGAGGTTTTTTCTTTTCTTTTATATTATTGTATGTACTTATTTTCTAATACTCTTTGTTGAATGATCACTGTTGCATCTTCAATAGCAGAAAGATAAGAACCTACTCACTGCAGTCTTCCTTTTAAGAAGTACTTAAAATATACCCTGTTCAAGCTGAGCATGAGAGTTCACACCTGTAATCCCAGTACTCATGGAGCAGAGGCAGGTGAATCTCTGACTTCAAGGCCAGCCTGGTTGACAGGGTGAAGTCCAGGAATCCTGGGGATCTTCAAAGGCCTTTCTTTGAGGGTCTGTGATCTCCAAACCAACACACTGTGTGTTCCTTTTCTTTTCGCTGTGTTAACATTTACACTACTAATGCACAGACAATGGTGGCTTGGCCTGCACAAATGAATGAAGTGGCATCAAATGACACAAGTAGCCACTGAGTACTTTCCTACCATGTAGTTTATATTAAAAAGGCAGTTTATTTAGAATGTCTGTTGGAGGCATTTTAATCTAGTCAGTTTAATCTTTGACTAGGTATTCACTAGACAACTGGGTATGAAAATGTACAAAATGACTGGGCAAGATTATGTATGCCTGTACTCTCAGACTAGGGACCGAGGCAAGAGGGAAGACTGAGGGTTTGAAGCCAGCTTGGGAGACTTAGTGAGTTCCAGCCAGCCTAGATTTTATAGTAAGTTATATCAGAAAATACTTTTGTAACACATTGAATTGCTATGGTTACTTCAGTAAAGACACTTGTATAATTGTCCGTATTGTGAGGTGACCTAAGCACTTTTTGTGTGCTACTATTTTTATTGCAAAGTTACAAAATGTAATTTAGGATTAAGAGAGAGAGGGCGGGAGGGAGGGAGGGTTTTTTTTTTTTTTTTTTCGGGCCGGCGGCTGGGGCGGGCAGAGAGAGAGAGAGAGAGAGAGAGAGAGAGAGAACAGGCTTCATTTAAGGGCTTACCACATTAGCATGAGGACCTGAGCTCTCATTCTTTCTCTCGTGTGTGCGTGTGAGCGCGCGCACATACACACACACACACACACACACACACAATATTATTTCTTTTCAGATTTAGACATTTGGCAGACATTTTTATGAAAGAAATAACCTTTCTTCCTGAAGAATAGGCATAATGAAACAACTGACAATATTTGTTGCTAATGATCAAGCTCTTAAGCAAAAATTAAACTTTTGGAAAACTTGCATTTACTGCTTTAAGCTTCATAAGAGCTTTTCTGATAGCATCTATATAATCAGGAAATATATTTTTAAATTGTTTTGTATAATTTAGTATTTGAAAGACCTGCCTAACTTATATTTTCCAAATGTCCAATTCATAGGCGTACACAATACAGGCATGAATATATGATTAATTCAAAGTTTAAGATAAGCCTATGAATTTAATGCAATAATCTATTAAAAGTTGATTGTTTTAGTTACCTATCCACATTGCATCAACTTTTTAAAATTATCATTTGATGAAGATATATGTATATGTGTGTGTGTGTGTGTGTGTATCTGTGTGTGTTGTCTGTCTGTGTCTCTGTATGTGTGTGTCTGTGTGTGTCTATGTGTATGGCACTTGCTGCATTCAAATGTACAGATTTGCATATTTGTGCATGCACATTGGGTGTCTTCTTTCATCACTTTTTACCGTATTGTCTAAACTGGACAGTTGGTGTTTGGCTGAGCTTGCTGGTTGACTAGCTGGAGAATCTCTGACCTGACTAACTACTCCACTACCCCTGGAATGCTAACAACGGCCTGTGCAACCATGATGAGTTATTTTTTTTTCCTTTTTGGTTTTTTCGAGACAGGGTTTCTCTGTGTAGCCCTGGCTGTCCTGGAACTCACTCTGTAGACCAGGCTGGCCTCGAACTCAGAAATCCGCCTGCCTCTTCTTCCCAAGTGCTGGGATTAAAGGCATGCGCCACCACCGGCTGGCCATGCTGAGTTTTATGTGGCTTAGGCTCATGCTTGCAGGACAGGTACACTAACTCATTGAGCCATCGAACTTTCCCCACTTACTGAGTTAGAACGTTAGGTACAGTAAATATTAATAGATATAATCTACCTAAAAGCTCTCTTAGGGTCTTCCATAATTTTTAAAATTTGTAAAAAAATAAAAATAAGAAACCTTTTTAAAAGATCTGAGATGCAGACATATGTTAGCCTTAATTTAGAAAATGTTTTATGTTTCATTGGGCTGTCATAAGTAGAAAAATAAATATTTACAGTTTGAAGACCAAGTCATGACATAGTTCATTATTTTAGAATTTTAAAATTGAAACTGCAAAAAAAAAAAAAAAGAAAGAAACTGCACCTTAGTTGAGTTTGTATCAGCTTTGTTTCCATGCTTTCCTTATGACTTAGGAATAATATATCAATTTCTTTAGGCTAAAAGATTAGTTGTATTTTTTGATGAAGCAAACAATTGTGGCACATATTTTTTTTCAACTTCTTTAGGTATTTTTGCTGCCTGCTTGGTATTGCACTCTGATAGCTCCTACTAAAATACTAAAGACTTCTTTCTACCCCCTCATTTTTATTGTAAATAAATTTTTTCATATAATACATTCTGTTACATTCAATATAGTTTTCCCCACCCCTAGTCCTCCGAGTTCCTCACCTCATCCTCTCCCATCTGGATCCACACCCTTTTGTCTGCACTTAGAAAACAAACAGGCATCTAAGGAATAATAATAAAATAAAATAAGATAAAGCAAAATGAGCAATTTGGAGGAGGACAAAACAAACATTAAAAAGACACAAGAAACACGTGGAAATGCAGAGACACAACATTCGCACACACAGAAATCCCTTAACTCAGAACTGGAGGTCATAGTATATACACAAAAGTCTTTGGCTTCTCACTTTGTTATGAGAAAAATGTATTTTAGAATCAGTCATTACCATAAAGAAGATCTATAAAGATAATCAAAACCTTTCAAACACATCAGTTTTCCAGAGTTACTTTCCTCCAAGTCTTATGATATCTGAGTTTAAAAACCAACAGTGTGGGATCCAATCAGAGTCACCTAAATGCACTTATATGAAGGGAAAAAATCCAAAATGAGCCCAGTTTTTCATTTGGTAGAAGAAATAATAATATTGTCATCACCAAGGTCCTTCTTGTAATTTGTTAAGGTGTGTATTCAGTAGTCTCCTAGTACCAGATGCCAGGGACCCAAGAGGTTCCCAGGACCCAACAGGGATGACATTAGCTGAAATACCCAACAAAGAAGAGAGAGAATCTGTAGAGACTGTATCAAGTGGATATAGGCATGGTCCCAGTGAGGGATGGGGCCACCCAACCATCTCAAAAATATTAATCCAGAATCTTGTGAAACATTAGGTTTCCCCAGTGTCTGGAATAAGGTCGAGAGCCAAAATGTGAAAATGCTTGTAGCCTCTGCAAGCTAAAAGTGGATGCTGCCAAGAACTCTGAAGACAAAAAAGGGTGCATCAGTTGCCAACCTGCAAGAGCATCACTTAACTGCTGCCATGAACTTGGATGTAGATTTTTTTTCCCCAGTGGCCTGCACCTTGTGTGGCCCTAAACAGAAAGATGCTGGTGTTGCCCATTCAGACTTCTGAATAGTAAAGGTGCTGAGTCAGTGTGTTCTTAAGCCTCTACATTTGCAATTTACTGAATAGCAATAGAAAACTAATACAACTTCCCATAATAAAGTCTACCCCACCTAGTTGTATATATACAGAGCTTATTGCCTTTCTTTCTCTATCCCAGCAGGATGCTGTATGCAATTGCTGCACATAGAGAGTAATGTTTAGTAAGTCTATCATGAAAGTTGAATGAAAATATTCACAAATTTTCAATATTTAATTGCACAGATTAAGTCATTCCTAGAAGCCAGTGATTTTGTACTTGAAGTGCTTCCTGAATCTGGCCTAGCTCTTTTTTTACTGGATGATGAAATCCCCAAATTTTAATGAAGAAAACAGATTTTAAGGCAGAAATACATAATCATAGTGGAAGCACACAGAATCATAGAGATGGAAAATAAATTTGTGTTTAAGTCATGAAAGATTATTGGATAGATCATTTATATTGGTCTTGACTCAATGACATGTGCATAGTGACAGGACTATCCACCTCTAGTATCTTTCTGTTGGCCATTCTTATTTGAGAAATTGTTCAAGAGAAATCACATGGATGAATGGTCCTATAAAGAGTTTAGCTTGGTAGCAAAGTATTTGAGAACCTAAAAATGGAAAACTAACTTTCTAGTTTTCAAATATAAAATAAGAAACATGAGTATAACAAGTTTTGTAAACCCCTTTAATAAAGGCTGGAATAATAAGTATGTAACTGGCTTGTCCTCAGAATGCAGAAAATAACTGAGAAAACAACAAACATGCACTTCAATACAAAAATTACTCTTAATAATGTGCCTTATTTAAAGAGAAGGGCTTTATGACCACAGGGGCCATTATGCAGCCATGAAATCAGAAAGCACTGGAAAAGACAGCATCAGACTATAGGCAGGATGACGGGGCCTTGAAGTAAAAGAGCCTTTCCTTCATATCCCAAGAGGTGCTACACTAGGAGAGATAGCCACCATGAGCATTCTGGAGGGTGGTGTTCTGATACTTAAAGGGTTTGAGGATGAGCAGGCTTCAGACCATATTATCTAGACTGGCCTGACCTACGTCCCAATGGACATGTACTAGGTAGAACCATAGTCTTTTACCTTGCAGCTACAAGGGTAAATGGCTGTAAAGCCATAGAACAACATGCTTGCTTATCAGCTCTGTATGTCAGAGTGAGAAGGGGAGGGGAATATGGGGTCATGTCATGAATCCTGGGAGAGGGGGAACACTTAGTCTGTGAGCTAGGATTAAGCAGCAGGTAAAACAGCAGGCTAAATGTTTTCATTTTATTTTGTAGAAATAAGAGGTTAAAGTTCTGGAAAAAACTAGGTAGGATGTTCTGTAAACACTCCAGACTTTCATTTGAGGCCAGAAAGTTTTCATACTGAGGGTAAAGACAGTTCAGAAAGATCAACAAAAATAAAAAAGGCCTAAAAGTGTTGATCTTCTACATACCTCTAAGGGAAAAAAAATCAACTGTGGGGAAAGGAAGCCTCCTTGTGCTATGAGTTATTGTTAACAATATCCGTTATTCAATCAAATCAAGCATATCAAGAAAGAACATCAAGCTAGGTGTGGTAGTACATGCCTGTAATCTTAACACTCAGGAAGCTGAAGAAAGAGGGGCCTAAGTTCAGGGCCAGTTTGGGGTACATGGAAAAACTGTCTCAAATTTCATAGTTTCCAAAAAGAGAAGAAAAATTGACTGATAGCAAGAAAACCTACAAAAGAAACAGAACTATGGATGATAAATACAATAAACTCTTAAGTAGTTACAGTGGTTTAAAAATAGGAGCAAAGATGAGTATTAGGAAACTGGACATTTTAAAAAAGCTAGCTATAAAATAGAATTTTCATCAAATACACATAGGACTTATACAGACATTAACTGTTTGCTGAGCCATAATTGATCTCAGTGACCTCCAAAGGATCACGTAACGTAGGTTCTCTAACCACAGTGGAAGTAAGCTGGATGCAATAATGACAAAACAGCAAGACCCTTTATGGGTGACATTTTGAAGGACCTCTAAGTATCTCTTAGGTAAATGAGGAAATCATAATCAAAATTGAAACATATTTGAAAAATGACAATGAAAATGTAATATATAAAAAACTCGCTTTAAGGAAATACACTTATGTAAGCTTTTGTGTATGTTTGAATAACAATAAGTGATAAAAATTCATTGTCAAAGAATTCATTTAAGAAGCCACCACATAAATAGTAACTGCAAGTAGAAGGAAAGAAAGAATAAAGACCAACACTTCAATTACAGTGAATCAAATTTATTCTAAAATTGCATACTAAAAGTTATGGGTCATTGTAATTAATAGATTTCAATACACCTCTCCAAGAAGTAAAACAGATTGTAAAATATCAGGAATGAAGACAACACCTATATAAGCCATAGACCACAGATTCTCAACCTGTGGGTCAAGGCCCCTATAGGATGGATATCCTGCATGTCAGATATTTACGTTATGGTTTGTGACTGTAGCAAAATTGCAGATATAAAGCAGTAGTGAAATAAATTTTGTGGTTAGGAATCACCATAACATGAAGAACTGTATTACAGTGTTGCAGCATTAGGTAGATTGAGAACCACTGCTGTAGATGGTAAATATTCTGCAAAGATTTCATTATCACACTGATAAATTTGCAAAAATGATAGAAGTGGGAAAATTCTTTGAAAAATAATCCCTGGGAGTTAGCTGCAGTTCTCTATGATGTTATGTTAGCAAGAGATAAAGTTGGGACAGGATCTGGACTTCAAACAAGTGTTAGTGCATGTGTGAAGGCTCTTTTAATCGTCTAGTTCTTTCTTTTAAGTGATGATATCTCATTCTTTGGACAAGAAAGAAGAATTTATAGATTAGTCTGTTTGATGATGAAAGTATTTTTCCTATACTAATGGCATATTGTTTTGTTTCATCGTATAGTAAAATAGGGATAATATTGTATCCCTAACTCATACAATTATTAGGAGAACTATTTTAATATACACAAAAGTCTTTGAATAGAGTCTAGAGCATAATAATTTTGTTCTTAAAACTATTGTCAATGTTCGTGATTTTTTTTAAAGTCTTCATGATTCACCATTGCCAAGTAATAAAGTATAAATTCCTTAATACCGTCAGGTTTTCTATATTGTGGTGGCCAACAGTCTTCATAAGTCTTGTTTGTTTTTCTACTCTAGTAAAAGTTTTTTTATTAAAAGAAAATAAATCATTAAAATTATCATAATTTGTTACCACAACAGAGGGTTCCACACACATGCAAGGGCAGGAAACTAAGTGCAGCCCAGCTCTGTGGGGATTGGAATTAATAAATCCGGAAGCAGGACTTTGCCCACATCTCTTATCTAGCACAGCACAGTCTCCTGTGCCTAACTTTCTCTGGAAAGCACCTTCCTTTGCTTCTATACTTGTGACAGTGTAGACTTTTGATTTTACAACCCACTACTAGTTGATGTGTTGAACTAAATTTGTAGTGAGAATCCTGGGACTGTGAGGAGGCTCACAGCTTGCCTTTTCCTTCCTCTGTTTCAAACAGCCCCACCTCCTGTGGGTTCCTCCAGGCTTACTCAAAAGGAACAATGGGGTGAGTGCAGAGAGCGGAAAGTCAGTGTAGTGGGGAGGGAAGAAGATTGGCGTGCAGCTATATCCCCATCCCTGTTGTTCATTTTCTTCCCAGCAACATTGCTGTTCCAGCCTGGCTATTTTGATCACTACCTAAAATCATTATATCTGTGGACATTTTCATGCTTTTGTCCAAACATGTGGTTGAGCATAATATATATTGATTAGGCACCTTTATTCCAGTTGCCATTCTAATGCTTCGGTTTTCTGTGTTATTCAGTTTCATAGTTTTTGCTGGTGAATTGGGAAGAACTAGGTAGAAATGAAAGTAAATGTATTTTACATTCTTTCTACAGATATCATTCCTTATATTCTTTCAGTCTAAATAGGCTATAAAAAGAACTGAGGAGGTATCCCCAGTGAAGTAAAGTGCTTTCTTCACAGGTTTGATGACCTGAGTTCAAATCTCCAGCACCCACATAAAAATCCTGGTGTAGTGGCTCTGGTTTATAATTTCAGGTCAGAGGCATGGGAAATTAGATAAGAGACAGGTGGGTCTCAAGTGCTTGCTGTCCAGTCAATCTAGCCAAAATAACCAAATGACTTCCAGGTTGGATGAGAGAGACCTTGTCTCAAAAAATGTCAGGGGAGGGGGATACAAAGCAATAAATAGACTAAGGCAAGTCTATTAATAAATAAATCCACAGGCAAGTGCAAACACACACACACACCCTCTATAGGGAATATTTTGGAATATTAAGAAGGACTAACTAATATCTACTACTAAAAAGTGTTGATACTGTCTAGTATTGTTTAAAGATCTACAAGTCAGAATTGCTTGTCTGTGATTCTGTGCTGAAATATGCTGATACCTGAGTTGAAGGTTTTCTTTTAAGGGAGTGCGGTAAAACTAGAACCTGGATTGTGCTAAACAAGTGTTGTATCACCGAGCTACACCCTCAGTCCCTGGCCTCTTGTTGTTGTTGTTGTTTTCTATTTTAAATCTTTGGTAGTATGTTTTAAATTTGGGGGAAGGAGCTCCAAATTTAATAACTCATGACTTGGGTTTATGATTGATCATACATTATAATTTACTGTCTGTATAAAAACTTCCTCTTGGGATATGAGTAGAATATTTTTTCCGACAAGGATTGCTGAAGTAAGTACTAAAAGAATCTGTTTTATGTGTTTTATAAGAGGATTCATTTTAACTAGCATGCTGCCTTTGGATATTAAAGTATAATTTTATATATGTACTATATGATTCAAAGTATATCTCTAACTTGGGTTAGAGTACCTAGCTGTAATTTGATATGTCATATATCTGCTGAAAGATAAAAGATAATTTATCTATAAAATATAAAATTTAATATAACCAAAATATCCTATTTTGTCTTCTTAGATGTTTTCCTGATTATTCTTTGTTTTGAATTATTTATTCCTTATTGTTATTATGCAGATATTTGACAGTATATAGAAAATATTTTTTAAGGTTCTTATTTGATCCTTTCTTGTTCCTCTTAGGGTAGAGCCTGGATCAGAGTAGCACTCATGGAAAAACATTTGTCTGAATACATCTCTACAGCTTTGAGAGACTTCAAAACAACAAGGTTTAAAGTCCTTTCAATTTTTCTAATATTATGATTTGAAAATCAGAATAAAGAGGTAGTCTGAAGTTCTCAACTTTCAAATCATCTGCTTTTATTTCTCAGATAAATCTACTGTCTTCTTAGAAAAGTGTAATTTGTCACCTGACTATACATTTGACTTACTGATTGGTGTAAAGGTATGCATAGTACCACCTCGAATGTCTTTTCATTGCGTCATTCTGAGTATCAATCGGTCAGTGATTTGAGCTTCATCCCCCCCCCCATTCACTTTCCTCTGATAAATTTGAAGGAAGTTCTAAGTATGAAATTCTTAGACATCTGGTCTCTTTCCCCAATGTAGTGCTTCCTCATTTCTCTGCTTGAGACGACTATAAGTAGATCACTTATTTCTTTCATTCATGTACAGAATTAATAATGACGTTGTTGTCTTTTCAGTGAACTCTTTGTAGATATTATTTTTCTAAGGGATAGATTTAAGGGATGACCTACTGTTTGGTCTGTAAAAATGAAGACCTTATTGCTTTTTAATTGGTGATGAAAAGGTTCCTGCTACACAGCAGTCGTTTAAATATTTAGTTCTTGTCTGGTGACCTACATTTGTTGTTGTTGTTGTTGATGTTTCTTCTATGTCAGAAGTACTTGTAAATGAAAGCATTTAATAATCTTATTATCTTAGAAATATACTCTATAGTGTCACTGGCACAAGACACTATATAGGATAAAATTGAATAAGATCATATAAAATCCAAATTTAGTTGTTTAGTTGCCATTTCGCATTTCAGGTACTTCATTCATGGCAAGTTGTAGAGCATTTCCCTTCTCACAGGAAGGCTGACTTGGTGCTTCTAAATGACTTTCCTTATTTTACATCATTCTTATTTCTGAAATAAGAATTCTGTAAATAAATAAGATTCTGTAAATCAGTTTTGATAAAGATTAAGAATAAAGAACTCATGAATCTGGAACCTCAATTTCCATGTCCTGGCGGATCTTACACCATGTCCTGATGGATCTAACACTCAAGATTTTAATAAAACCTTGACATGGGTTATGACATTCTTTTAGCCAGCCAACTGGTACAGATATTTACGGAGAATTTTTCAACTCTGTAGATAATAAATAAAACAGCAAGCCTTTAATATGAGAGATACAAAAATATTATGATAATAAATTTAATCAGGAAAAGACTTCTAACTAGAAAAGTGTTTTAATAAAATAAACATAATATTTATTTATTGAGATTTTTTAGCAACTTGATACTTTTGGCATATATCTAAAGATGGATAGTGAGATGATGATAAACTCTTAGACTTTTAAAATGAACCTGACAAAATGAAATTTTATCATCACAGGAAAACAAACTTAATTATAAAAAGAAATATTGAGGGTACAAATGCTTTATAAATAAAAGTAGAGCACAGTATCAGAATCTAGTATGCAAAACTAAATTAAAACTAAGCTTATATAATAATTACCTCTTATATAATTACATTTCATCTTTTCTAAGAAAGCATCTCAAGTTATTAGTCCCATGTTTTAGTTGAAATGATTGGGTATGTTAGACTTGATTTTTGAATAGATTGTTTTTGGAACAATAGTTTAAAAATTGAAAGGAAACATTTGAGCTTTGTCTTACATCTAGCCATACCCTGATGAAATGGGAAATGATTCAGTTCTAAATGCAAAAGTTTTTGAAGTAAAAAGGTCTTGTAATACTATACAAACATGTTCTTTTCAAAACACCAATGTAGCTTACTGCATATTATATGCATGCATATATGTATGTTTACATAAACATATCTGCCCTAACAAAGGTTCTTAAATGTGAATACAGTGGCTTCATGATTTACAAGGAGGAAAGTGAGCACAAAGATATTTCAGAATTTTCTTCCTAGATTGTGACTAACAAATAGGAAAAGCCAGAACATTTTTAACTACTTAATTTTGTTAATTTGACTGAAATAAATTCAAATAACTTCTTAATTATAAGTAATTTGAATGTAAATCTCTGGCTAAAGAAACACATTTGGAAGAGTAAATTTGTAAAATATAAGAATAGTCATGGAGAGAATAGTCGCACATTACCTTTTATCTGAATGCTTCTAGATGTAAGCCCTTAAAGAAATGATTCCTTTAACAATCTTGAGAGTATCTGAATCAAGTGGATTTCTTCTCGTTCTGTCTGACTTCACAGACAAAGAGAAATGCTAGTCTTTAAAATAGCATCTGCGTGTTTACCCCAGTTCAAGGGGAGGAGCTAAGGGAGGCAACTTTGAAGCACTGATCTGAGTATCCAAGGATGGAGGAAGGGTGGAGGAAGGGTGGGGAACTGAAGTACAAATTCTTGGAGTACATAACTGCCTTCAAAGTATTAAAGAATTTCATGTGAACTTCTTGCTGAAGTGAAAAGTATCTTGAGGAGCAACTGGAAAAGAAAAAGAATAAAAACTTAGAATGTTTTGGGTGTTAACTGGAGACAACCTGAATTGGGAAGTGATAGACTATAATCTAAGTTTTTTTTTTAAGGTGTAAAATTACTTTGATAGCATTCTGGGGAAAATCTCAAATGAAAAGTGAATTTAAAACTGAATTGGTTTGTTTAAACTTTAATTTCTGTCCATCCACAGACTTAAGAATTAGTTAGAAACATTAATCCAAATTTTATACATGTGATGTTTGAAACAATATTGAAAATATTTTGGTGAACATTTAAAGTAATAAATACTGGCAATAATATATTTGGAAAGTAGAAAGATAAAATTAGCTTAAATTTAGCTGCTTCAGTATTTAATTTTAAATTATAAATTATGTAATAAAGAAATGTCAGTTTTTACAATATTTTGGTATAAAGGAAGGAATAAAGTATAAAGTAACTTTTACATTCCTGAGCTATCACTAAACATGAAGCTTTCAATTTTAGAAAAGTATCTAGAATAGTAATAAATTGCTAAATCTTTTAAGAACCAAGAGTTTTAGAATCTATAAATATGCTAAATGTTTACATTAAAATTATCCTTTGATATATATGAATTTGCTTTCTATGATTTCTGTTACTCATTGACTGGGAAATTCCAGAAGTAATTCATGCATTTTATACAACTGTTGTTACAGGCTGTTGCTAATACCTGCCTTAATCTGTTGTTACTGTTAATCTCTTCATATGACTTATTTATGTTAAACTTTATGATAGTATGAATATATAGGAGAAGCATAGCATGGCAGTTGCTTCTGAGCTTATGACAGGCTTATGTCTGGAGAATATCATAGCATGTTGAAAGCATTATAAGTCAAAACCATATTTAGTACACCAACTGCAGGTATCAGAGCTTAGCCTATTGCAATTTAATATTCTCAAAACTTTTATGAAAGCCCATGGTTGGGAAAGGACAGCAGCAAGTCTGTTTTTATATATAGTAATCATGTGACAGAATGGTTAACTGGAAGCTACAGCTCACTGCCGTTGCCCTGATCCTACTGTGGGGAAGATAAAAATGCAAATCTGAAGCACAATTGCTGTTGAATGACTACGATTTTCTTAATACATTTAGGTCAAAAATTGGAAGCTGAACTTATTTATTGACTATATGTATAGATCTTGATATTCTTTACAGTTTCAGATATTCAGTGGGTATGTTGAGATGTTCTTCATTGATGAGGAAAGCTTCTTATTAAGATGAAAAAATAAACTTATTAAAATTTGCTTTTGGATTGTCCTACCTCATGACATAAAAACTCCAAGTACATCCAATTTAAATACAAAATTATTGAAAGAAAATATAGGTTTAGCTCTTTGATATTTCCTTGACATGATATCCTATGTACAAAAATCAAAAGAAAAATAGATAAATTGGACATCAATATTTATAACTTGATACTTCAATAGACACCATCAAGAAAATAAACAAGAACACAGAATAGGAAAAAAATTAAAAATCACATATCAGATAAAGAACATATACCTAGAATGTATATAGAAATAACTTTTACCATTTGTTAGTAAAAATGAGCAAACTTTTTCTCTGACAAAGGTATATTGTTCATAAATAGCAAAGTAAAGCCTTAATGGTTAATTTTCATTGTTAGCTTGACAGAATTTGGAACTCTAGGTATATCTTTAAGATGGGATTTCTAGACACATTTAACCATGGAGAGATGATCCACCGTGAATGTAGGTGACAGCATGCCATCTGTGGTGTCCCAAGCTGAATAAAAAGAGGAGAAATCCAGCTGAGTATTTCCGTCTATGTTTCTGGGTCTGCTAGAACATGAGGACAGCCTTAGGTTCCCACGGCACTGAACTCTACCATGCCTTTCCCTCCATGATGGGTTACACCCTCAAATGGGAGTCAAATTAAACACCTTCTCTCTTAAACTACTTTTTATCAGATATTCAGTTGTAGCAGTAAGAAAGTAATCAATGAAAAGCTCAGCATCATTAGCTACCAATAAATGAAAATCAGAAACATTATAAAATACTATTCATATGAAATGAGATGTGTATGTACAAAAGATTACATGAAAGCAAATGTTGATGAGAACTTGGAAAATTTGGATCCCCAATGCATTGCTTGTTTGAAAAGTAAAACACCATAGCCACTTTGAAAACAGTCTGCAGTTGCTCAAAAAATTTTAATGTGACATTATCATAAGACCTGTCATATGACATTCAGGGGTGGATTGTGTGGATATTTGTTATACCTGTATATCAATGTATGTATATAAAATTGATACCATAGTAATGTCCATCTATTTATAGCAGCATTATTCATAATAACCCCAAAACAAAACAACCCAAATCCCCATTGGATAAAGAGACAAAATGTATCCTTTCATTCACCTTTAAAAATGATTGGAGTAGTGCTGACATTACGTATGTTGGCAACATGCAAATCCTCAGCTAAATCTTGGTAACATCCAAAGCCAAAGAAGCCCTTTCCAGAAGGCCAGATAGTATAAAAGTTCAGTAATTGAAATGTCCAGGATAGCAAAATAAGTACATA